CAAGATCCTGAGAGGAGAATGGAGAAGGGATTGCGGTGTGGCCATCCCCCCTGGGGGGTGATTTCTCGCTTTCTGTCTCTCTGTCTCTCTCTGGCTGGCTGGCGAGCACACACGCCCTGTAGCAAAAACCTCTCCAAAAAAAAGAATGAGGATGGGCTTTCTTTTTCTATTCATATAAAAAGAAAGCATGGGGAAATGTAGACCAGAGTTTAGTAACAGTTATCTCTGTGGACGGGAATTGGGTAGATATGAATGGGGCAAGGCCTCTACCATGTATTGTTTTCAAGGCCACCATTATCTAGAATGTAAGTGTAAATGGTGTTCCCATGATTTGTTTAATGGGGAGGATTTGGGTGTTGGTTTTTTTTTTTTTTGCTTGTTTTTCTTTACTTTTTACTTTACATATATGCATATATTACCTGCCCCACCCTTTTTTTTCAATGAACACATTAATTTGATTGATTTTAATATTGGCTTTCCCCACTGCTGTTATCACAGGAGTGGCATACCAGGAAGCAGACTTTGAAATTACTGTTGGGCCTTGGTGGAACAAAGCCAGGACTCAATTGTCCCTCAGTCATAAAGGGATTAAATTGAATATGTTAGAATTTACTAAAGAGAACCAATTGTCCCATGCAAGGGATGATATTGTAGTTACTTAGGAAGTCAAGAGAAACTCATTTGTGTTTGTCAATACTATCTCTGCAATCTGATTCATTTTAAACTTATAGAGTTATATGGGCAGTGCTTGACTTTTTTCATTTATCATGGAAAGTTAAGTGATCCACTATCATAAAATATTAACTAAATTTATATGACTTTTTTGTCTGTTATAAGTGCAGAATATTTGTCACAGTGCCATTTTCCTGAATTTTCTGTTACTAAATATTTTATCTTACTGTCACCATTGCGTAAAATTTTCGAACAGAAAATGAATATTGTGTAATAGTTAAAGCCATTCATATGTTGCCATTGAATGTCAGCTTAATGTGTCATACATCAAAGTTTGTTCCATGGCTTTTGCATAATCCAGAAGAACTTAATAATAGTTGAAGTTAATTTTCCTACTGAAATTCAGAGAAAGAAAGATGTTTGAAATTTAAATCATCTGGAGCTAAATTTTTTTTTTTTTTTTTTTTTTTTTTTTTTTTTGCTATAGGCCATGTGCACATGCCAGAGAGAGTGCCAGAGAGCCAGAAAGTGAGAGAGCCAGAAACCGAGAATTTAACCCCCAGAGTGGATGGCCATACTGTAGTCCCTTCTCCTCCATCCTCCTCTTGGGATTTTGGTCACGCATGCACACATACCCAACATGAGTTTTAAGAGGCTGGGTCCAGGACTCAAACTGCAGTAGACTATGTGGGAGTCCAGTGATGTAACCATTATGCCATCTGCTGGTCCCCCATGGCTAAATTCTTAAAGTTTAAATCCCTTAGTTCTATTGGTAGTGTCATATTGAGGCTTTTTATAGTCATAATTCTGAGTGGATCTTTATTCAGATTATTTAAAAATAAACTTTCCTATGGTTAATAACACTTTTATTTTAAATAGAGTAGTCATAAGTATCTTTTATTATTCTGATTAACTATTTCACTTCTATTTTATTTTTTCTATACTTTAGTTCTCCTATGGTTTTGATAACTGAAACAAACCATGATTAGTAATTTCAGTGGAAATTTGGCCAAATACAAACACACATGTGCACACACACATATGCGTACACACATATATACATAGATACATATATTTGGCCATATACTATATAGAATATATAACATATTTATATATAATATATACATGCATATATATATAACATATGTAATATATATTATATATGATATATATTAGTTTCTATCAATAAAAATTAGGAAAGTAAAGATATATATGTTATTTTGACTGGGCCCTTTATCATCAGAGCTGGAATATACTTATATTTCCTCTGTTAATAGCACAAAAATTTTTAGTGTTGATTTTTTTTTTTTTTTGGAGAGGTTTTTTGCTATAGTGCGCATGTGCTCACCAGAAAGATAAAGACAGAGAGACAGAAAGCGAGAAATCACCCCCCAAGGGGGATGGCCATGCTGCAATCCCTTCTCCTCCATTTTCCTTTCAGGATCTTGGGCACGCACGCACACGTGTCCAGTGTGAGTTTAAGCCACAGGGTCCAGGACTCGAACTGTGGTCAGCTATGTGGGAGTCCAGCAACATAGCCATTACGCCAACTGCTGGTCTCGTGTGATTTTTTGTTTCTTTTGAGAGAGAGATTTTTGCTATAGAGCGCATATGCTTGCTAGAAAGAAAGGAAGAAATCCCCCCCCCCCCCTAGGTCATGGTCATACCACAATTCCTTCACCTCCATTCTCCTCTTGGGATTTTGGGCATGCACACACATATGCCTGGAGTGAATTTTAGGCCACTGTGTCCGGGACTTGAACTGTGGTTGACAACTTGGGAGTCCAACACCATAACCATTACACCATATGCTGGTCCCATTATTGTGGTTTTAAAAGAATATGTAAGTAGAAGAGATGCCAGAATTCTGTGAAATTGGGGAGTAGCTTGCAGATGTGATTGTATAAACTTGAAAAGAACTGAGATAAGTATGTTGTTGAATTTCTTGTAGCCAGAGCACACATTTCTAATATTGTTATTTGTTCTAACAGTTATTCAAATGACTCTTAGTTGATTAATCACATGTGTTGATTGGAGTAGTTTAGAGAACAGCTACAGAGACAAACATCTCCCCTCTCCCTTGTACCCATTAGCTGTCTCTGGCCAACAGACCAGTCAGTGAGTGGGCAGGTGCTCTGGCCCATCTATGAGTCCTGGGCTGAGTCTACAGTGTTTGTCTTCTTCCATCCAGGAGGTCAAGTGTTTCTGCATGAGTGTGTGTACATTGGCTGTTACTTACACTTATGCTGCCTGGAATTGATAATGCTTTTTTCTATTTCGTGGTTTGTTTTATTTTTATTTTAAATGCTCTTAAGTGAAGTTGAGCTTACTTCTGAACTAGTAGATACTAGCTATAATAAATAACCAGGAGAGAAAATAAGAGGTAGTCTGGTTAACCTAGCACCACAAAGCCTGGACTGGAGAAATCCTTGGGAAGTGGCAGTTTGGGTTTTATTTCCCCCAATTTGGAGAGATGGCAGCTGAATTTGTCTCTGAGAAATGTAGAACTTTCTGGAAGCCTGACTTCTATATGTTGTAAATAATAAACTACACATCAGAAATAGTTTAAAGTGAAGGAGACCTGGACTAGGAGTTAGATCAGTGTTCTCCATGATCATTTCCATCAGTATAATGTTACCTTCAACAAGACTTTAGATGTATAAGACCCATCTTCAGATCTGAAAAATGCTGAGTAAGAAGAGGTTTCCAGGGCCACTTGGCTGTCTAAATTTCATGGCTAGCCTGCCTCTAGGCAGTACATAGTGTGTGGGGTCAGAGGCTAGATCTTGGGAAGCTTCATCCAGGACTCCAGGTGGAGCCACCTCATATCCTGGGCATCACTGTCTCCATCATGGGAACCTGTCACACCCCACTTGTGAGCATGCTGCCTCCACCTTCCTTAGCTAATCCCCCTTCACTAGCCTCCTTTCCTTTGCTTAGTGTCTTGCATACAGTAGGCGCTCAGTATGTTTTTAGTCAATGAGTGGCTCTTGTGTGCTCTGTGGAAGTGCTGTTGCATTTTCTTTCACTTTGGTTTTATTTCCCCCAATTTGGAGAGATGGCAGCTGAATTTGTCTCTGAGAAATGTAAAACTTTCTGGAAGCCTGACTTCTATATGTTGTAAATAATAAACTACACATCAGAAATAGTTTAAAGTGAAGGAGACCTGGACTAGGAGTTAGATCAGAATTTGGTAAATTTCTGAGATCTCCAGCATTGCCTGTTAACTGGTAAGCTTAGTAGTAGGTATGGTGGCATTAATTCCAAAGACCTCTCTCTTCTGCAGCTGACACCTTAAATTTTTTCTAATGAAAGGTATATCCATTAAATAAACATTTTTTTGGTTAATGTCTTTGTTCTTCTTTCTCCAGAGGTCTTGCCCCTCAGAATAAACCAGAATTGCAGAAGGTCATGGAAAAGAGAAAACGAGACCAAGTAATAAAACAGAAGGAGGAAGAAGCACAAAAGAAGAAATCTGACTTGGAAATAGAACTATTGAAACGGCAGCAGAAGTTGGAGCAGGTAGGGGTGATGGGGGTGAGGGTCTTTTTTTTTTTTTTTTTTTTTTTGTCCAGAGAAATAAGGATGTTGGAGCAAGCAGAATTTACCAACTTGAAAAGTGTCAGATGTAGATGTTTACACCATGAATGAAAAATATGAAGCAAAATGTCAGCAAATGGGATGAAATATATCCAAGGCAGGGACAAGAATTCTATTGAGGACCTTAGATTCTGAAGGCAAAAGCAAAACAGGGAAATGTCACTGAATTCATAGAGTGTTGTAGTAATTCAGTGAAATTCAGACTCCAGAGCTACACTGCTCTGATGTTAAACTCAGAATTTTGTTTCATAATCTTCACTTTTTAATTCTTGTCACCTCTTGCTATTGTTTGCAGTAACAACCAGTTAGCTAGTGCTGCTGTGCAGATTATCCCTGGACTCATATGCATACCTTTTTGTTTTGTTTTGTTTTAAGTAAGGGATCAGGAGAGCATTTCTTCTTCTTCTTCTTCTTCTTCTTCTTCTTCTTCTTCTTCTTCTTCTTTTTTTGGAGAGGTTTTTGCTATAGGGTGCACACACTCGCCACACAGGCAGAGTGAGACAGAGAGATAGAAAGTGAGAAATCACCCCCTGGAGGGATGGCCATGCCACAATCCCTTCTCCATTCTCCTCTTGGGATCTTGGGCATGTATGCACACGTGCCTGGCATGAGTTTTAAGCCACCAGGTCCGGGACTCAAACCACGTTCATCTACATGGGAGTCCAGCGACATAGCCATTACGCTAACTGCTGGTCCCAGGAGAGCATTTCTTCATTGGGAAATGAAGTTGTAGGGACTTCAAAAAGAGAAGAATGTTTTGAAAAGCCTTTCGGTCTGTAAATAATTTTCTACTTTCTGAATTTCATTTAGCTTGAACTTGAGAAGCAGAAATTGCAAGAAGAACAAGAAAATGCCCCAGAGTTTGTAAAGGTGAAAGGCAATCTCAGGAGAACAGGCCAAGAAGTCGCCCAAGCCCAAGAGTCCTAGGCAAGACTGCACCAAGCCCTCATGCACCCCGACCTCACCGCACTGAGCTATGTCTGTAGGTGCCTCCTCAGCACTTAATCTCAGGGCAGAAGCCCATGGAGAAAATTCCAGCCAGCAGAAAGTTTGACTTTCCAAAGCATTTGGTGTGATTTTCCTACAATCTGGGTGGATAAATGGCCTATAACAGTTGCAGTTCCTATTCGCCAAATGAAGGGCATTGACCAGCATATAAGTTGGAATAATGGACCTGTGTTCACAGACTTTAAAAAGCAAACAAACAAAAAAAGAAAAAGAAAAAGGAAGCGGACACTGGAATAAATTCTTTAGAGTTGCACTACTTGGCTTTTCTTCCAATCCAAGTTTAGTGGGGCACAAAGCCTTTTTTCTTTTAAAAGCTAAAGAAAATGTGTTTAGCGTTTCTTTTTATTATTTCTTAGATACGTTACATTGCATAGAAATGCATTTATTCTGTTACTTCCAATATTTGTGTAGTTCATTTTGGGAACCTCAAATTTTCTTGTTTAATTTAAATTTTCATCGTGGTTAGAATTAACACCGGAAAATATTTATGTGGAGCACAGCCATTACCTTTGTTGGCACTAAACTTCAGAAATAGGATAAGAGGCTTAGAAATATTTAAATATCCATTTTGATCTTATTTCAATTGTTTCTGGCATTCTGTGTAATAATCTGCTTATATGGCGTCATTCCAGTTCGAATAAGGTACATCGTGAACATTCATTTATTGCTTTGATATCTAGTAGGGTTTTTGTTGAGTTTTGTTTTTAAATTTTTTGCCGAGCTAGTCCTTTTAGATAGAATAATCTCCTGATCCTTTGGAAGATAGAACTAGTCCATATAACCTAGCTTCAGTGTCAAAATTAGAGGGTCCAAAATCTTTTAATTTTTTCTGAGAACAGTATGGAGAAAGTTCCCATTATGAGCTGGGCAATGAGGTCTTTAGGTATTTTAATGTCATACTGTGTAACTTGATTGTAAGGAGGCTTCATTGGGAGATTTATAGCATTTGTACAATTCGAAAATCATTGGATTCCAGGCTTTGAAACTTTCTGATTAATGATCACATATTTCTCTATGTGTGTGTGTGTGTGTGTGTGTGTGTGTGTTGTGTGTGAAGAAAGACTCTCTCAGCACTATTTCAATGATGATACTGTTGATAACAATGATGTTGATGACTACTGTATGGCATCTCTCAGGAAAAGCTGAGGCTGCTCAGTTTTCTCTGTGTTGCTAGCTATTCAAGTCTAAATGATAAATACTAGCAAAATTATCATGCAAAATTAACTTTATACTGCTGGTATGGCCACAGGTACCTTATATTTGGTGTAGAATGGCAAAATTTTTGTGGGATTAGTATGGTCTCCATAGAGACAATTCAGCCAGTGATTTCTGCATTGAGACTTTTCTTATACTTCCTTTAAAGACCTACAGACAGCTGGATCCAGAGCTTTTGAATCCTTGATTACCATAGTAGAAATTAACGTTCTATGCCAATGCTTTAGTTTTAGTGGTTGACGATTAGGCCCTTATTCAATCCTAATGTGAACAAGATAAAAGTAAATGTGATGATAACATCTTTCTAGTTAGAGAAACATGTTAGTTGATTATACCTGAATGGATTATTTATCTCATCAGCAAGTATTATTTGAATAAAATATGAGATGCTTAAGCTAAAATGTTGCTCTATAATAGTTTGCTTTTGAGAAATGGAATGGTAACCATTTTTGCCATCATTCTTCCTTCTATGGGGAGACAGTGTGATAACTTACCATCTTAAAAATACATTTTTGATTGCACATTGATTATAGAGTTCTTTCTTTATGTATATGGACTAATGATGTTATTTGTAAAATGGACATTCAGGATTGGCTTTATATCTTTTTTATCTAACTAGGTGTTAGATCTTCAGATTTGTATCTTTGATGCCATTCTGCCACTTGATAAAATTCTTTAGAGCCCTGACAGGCTTTTTTAGAAGGGCCAATTCTGTCCTTAGACTTTCCTAGCATTCCTTCTTAAATGGGAAAATGTTAGTTTAAAAAAAGCATTTCACTCCGAATCTCACTGAAATCTGCAGAATTATTTCTAGTTAGTGATACTAGGTCTGGCCAAAAGAAGACTTGTAAATAGCGTAGAGTGAAGTCTTATGCTAAATAGTGGAAGATATAGATGGAGAAGTTCTTCAAAGTTGTCAGATCAGCTGGGCTCATAAGCCTGAGTTTAAAAGGCACTTGTCTCCCCACATACCTTAATATTGTACAGTCCAAATCCCTGGGACTTCTGAACACCTGAGCAGTTTTGTGCTTTGAGTCACTTTTTGACAAAAAATGGCTACATTTTTCCACTCTAGTTTTCTTAACATAGTTTAGTGTTTTCTAGTCTCATAGTAGTAAAGTAGTATTGCTTTCTAAGCTATAATGGTTGACTTTATTCTTCTACTCTGAAAAAATCTTGACTTGTTTGCGTGTATATAATATATATAAAGGGAGCCTTAATGGATTTGTTTTCATAATTTAATATTTTTTGTATTTGCTCTTGTATAATTGTTTTTAATGGAAAGTATTACAGAATCGAGGGTGGAATTCTTAGAACCAAAGTTATTCTTAATAAAAATCACCATGTGCTTGGACCATGCAGCCCTGTTTGTTTGGTCTGTTTTAGAAGGAGACCCGGAACTGAAGGAGACAGTGTTCAGTTCCAGGATTAGAAGGTGGGTCTAGAGTCTTCTTTTGGTGACTGTCATCTTTGACAGCCTTCCCCTTCACATCATTCATTCCCTATCACCTTGTGTCTGTCACAGCTGAACATTTCTTTTTATCAAACAAGTCTCTCCTAAGATATTAGTGGCACCATGTACTACACTGCATAGAACACGAGGCACTATTGCAGTAACTGTCAGTCCTTCAGATCAAAGTATTCTGAATTTTAGGAACTTTGGTAAGACAGTAGGAGACATCATTTTGGAAGGGCCATGTTTAATGTGTGGGAACTAATATATATGGAATGTTTGGAGCACGGTTATGAAATTTTTTTGCTTATTCAGTTAAATGAACATTCTCCTTGGGAGGCTAAACACACAGTTACATTATGCTATTGGCTAAAAAGTTTGGAGGTTCAAGTCTGTTTATAATTATGCCTTTATTTTCCAACTGCAAATTATCACTCAGCCCTATCACCTAACTTGTAGTGTGTTTGAATGCTTTGAAAATTGCATCTCAAGAGAGTACAATTTTGTTATGTTGGGCTGGCTCGATGCATTGCTCAAGTGAAGCTGGATCCTTGTGGAACATTGGGGTTTGATTCCTGAGTTGGCCTTTACTTGCTGGGTATGCACACTGGTGGGAGTATTGTGATGTCAGACTCTGTTAAAGGTGCTTATCTTTCTTCCTTTCTTTCTCTGTCTCTCATGTTCATGAAAGAAAGGAACTCGAAAGAATGAACAAATAACTGGATTTGCCATGAGCTCTAAAGCCAGTACTGAAGATGGATTTTAGAAATGATTTAGGCAGTAGCTGCATCTTGGGAATAACCAGGCAGTTTCCCAAGGTGACAGCTTTGAGGCTTTCAATTAATTTAATTGAATGATCACGTGTGCATGTGTTTGTGTGTGTATGTGTGTGTTTTATAGGAGTGATAATAGATTTGAAAGAAGACAGGACAAAGTGGTAAACTTTTCAATGCTATCAATTTAATACAGTTAAAAGAATTATTAAAATAATACTACCTGATTTATATTTATCAGTATAATAAGAAATAAAGTGTTTTATTTCCAAAGTCTTAGGATAAATAAAATCTTTACGAACTAACCTTAAGATCACGATTCCTACTTTTCTTTTCCCCATGAGAAAATGCAGTCTGATTATCAGTTGGAGGTATTTTGAATATCTTCCCACTTGCTCCTAGATTTTCAGGCTGGATGGTAATTGATAGCCAGTATCTAGCAAATAGGGGCACTTTGATATTTTTTGAAAGTGTGTTCATTGCTACTGGGTTGTCACTGTCTCCAGACCCTTCTCGAAGTATATATGTGTATCTGTGTCTAGGTGTAAGTATTGCCTTTGTCCATTATTGTGATGTTAACTTAAATACCTGAGACTGGGTGATTTATAAAGAATAGAGTGTTCTTTGCAAAACTCACAATTCTGTGGCAAGAAAGTCTAAAGATGTCTCAAAATGATGGAAGACAGAACTTTGGGCAAAGTAGAGCAGAGTCTTTTTCTATCTGGCATCCGCCTACCTTATTTCCTCTCTTTATAAACACACTAGAACTCAGTATCTCCCTCCATCCCTTGGCATTATCATACCCAAAGGCCTCCCTGGGATACCATGAAGAGATTAAGTTTTTACTTAGCACCTTTACAATGCAATCAAGTCCCAGTGCATGAACCTTGGGGGGACATCCAGCCACCACCTACCAAGACCAAACTCCTAAACTAGGGACAAACTATGTAGGGGGCAAACTATCATCCAAATCACAGCAGTGTGGATTCACACATTTGCACTGATACTAATTTTCACATCTATATTTATTAAATATTGTGAATTCACATCAATACCCCACTTCCAACCCAATGTCTGTTCTGCCTTCTCCCTTTCCTTTATTGGTAGCTTTCTTTTCTAACAGTGAAAGTCTGGCTGCTGCCTTCCTCCACACTTCCTTATTTCTTAGCCGTGTGTAACCAGTCCCCTCACCTTCTTCAGCCATTTTCCTTGGGCACTGCCTAGTAACTTTTTGACTGAACAAGGAAGGAAAGAAGGATCAATTTTTCTTGAGCATTTAATCATTTATTGTGAATTTAATGCAGTTGCATCAACCTAAATTGCAACTGCAGAGTTAGAATGCTTATTTTCAACCTTTGAAACTTCCTGAAGCAGTATTACAAATTAGACTACAATGATTAACACATTTTAAAAATAACTTGCATAAAGCAATTTTAAAAATTAAAAAAAGATAAAGTTCCTGTCATGCAGTGGCACAAGTGGTAGGATGCTGCTAAGTGAGGCTGAGGTCACATGTAGGGCTCAGGCTGTGTTCTGGACCAGGCTAGGTGCAGTAGTGCATGCTGGTAATCCCAGCTAGGCAGGAGGCTGCTATAGGAGTATTGCAGCATGGCAAGATCCCACTGAAAATACCTGTCTCTCCCATGGCCAACAGATGGCATGAGTTAAAGCACTGGATTTCCACATGGCCGATAGAAGTTTGAACACTGGACCCAGTGATGAAAATCACACCGGGTGCATATGTGTGCATGTCCCAAATCCAGAGAGAATGGAAAAGGGTGGGGGGTGGGGGGAGTGTATGTGTGTGTGATTTCTCACTTTCCCTCTCTGTCTCCACTGAGCACATGAACCATGTGGCAAAACAAAACAAAACAAAACAACTTTCATTTTTTTTTAAAGAAATGGTACTACTGTTGCCATACTTCATTTCCTCCTACGGATTCAGTTAAATTCTACTTCCTGGGCTGTTAGTAATCTTATCAAGCCTAAAAGAAAAGGATTACCTGCCTAGGCTAACAAGGAACAGGATCTGAGTCGTTGACAAATTCTTACTTAAGGCATGGAACCTGGTTACACAGTCCAAGCTGATTGAACTGTGAGTCACAGGCTTCAAACTAGATCCTCTTTAATCATTTTTTATTTGCTTTGTCATGGGATTTTTAATATCTCGTCATTTGTTTTACTCTATTTTTTGAAACTTGGTGTCCTTCCCAGAAATGGCATATGCTTTCATTTTGCAAAGCTAGAACTAACTACTCATTGTCCTGCCATTCTGATGTATTGATCCTATCCATTAGCATTATTGAAAATTCATGTATGCCTTATCAATGTCTCATATAATTAGTAGGATCGATTTGAGATTTTGTCCACTGAGTCAAGTTTGTGTCATGAATTCTTTGAAGTATTTGGCTATTTATTTTCTTAGACATACTGTTGTGTCCTCTTTAATTTATTATTTTATATGGGCAACTGAACTCCTTTTTCTACTTGGTGGACACTAGTAATGACCAGTCTTTTTTCTTCTTACACTAAAATTTTCTGGTTTATCTTATGATTTCCTGGATCTCTTCTCTCCTGTATGCATAGTTAGAGACAAGTGCATACCTATACTTCATAAAAATGTATGTTCTTCATCAAACAGATCATGTCCAGCATGTGACTGTTCTGTTGAACATATCCAGTAACAAACCTTACTTTGTGTTACAGTTCTTTTTTTCCTCCTTTGAATATCATTACGAGTCTGACCCTTTATAGACTCAACTTCTAATTTTCGTCTTTTCTTCGATGTTAAGAATATTAAAACTTGGCCAGTGGATGCTCTTCAAGCTTATTCCTTCTGTTTTGTTTTGTTTTATATAAAATATTGCCTCTGATGGTTATACAACATCCCTTGTTACAACAGTGGCATGTTTAGGACCATCCTAATTTAATTTCTTCCAGACACAGACACAAAACTGTGTGTCCTTCAAGGAGCCCTGGTTCCTTTTGGTGGAGAATAGATCAAGACCTGGCACTAGTGGCACATAAGAGAATTCCTAGTGGACAAAAGTGTCCCTGCCCCTTTTTTTTTTCAAGTTTGTTTATTTCTTCCATGAATGACAGAAAGGCATCCTCAACATCATCTGGTCACAACATGATCCCCTTTTAGCCCTCCAGCTCAGCAGCATCTTGGGTAGGCCACACCAGGCTGAGGATCTGAACCTGTGGTTGACCATGTGGCTTCCAGCACTACAGTTCAGTAGTCTATAGACTGTGCCATCTAGGTTGGGCTCCAATAAGATCTTGATGCTATGATCTCTAGCACCAGCCCCAGATTAAGGGCATGTGTGTGGCCAGTGTACTTAGGAACGTCTTCAGGTTCCAACTGGCAACTCCCATGTGGGTCAGCCTCGCAGAACATTGAGTTTTACTATTATGTCACTGTCTATCTCCAACCTTCAGTTATAGTAGTGACAGAACTAAAGGAAATGAAATCACCTAGATTTTCCATTTTACCTGTAATGTGATTCTTTCCTTGTTCTTATTGCAGTATGAGGTCTCATTGAACCAGAAACCTTTTCATTAGAACTATAGAGACTAACTGAGATTGTTTTTTAAATAAGAATTGTGAAAGGGGATTTTCCTGACCAGCTAGCAAAACAAAGTTTTAACCAGTAGTAGTTTATTAGTTTGATATGTATGCTAAGACAGAATATAAAATACAGAGAGAGACTAATTTACTTATTTATGTATTGAAATTTTCTGTGATTGTAGTAGAATTTTAATTCAGTGAAAAGTTTCAGGGCAATTGGAGCCAAATTAATATACATTCCTCTGCCTAACACTGTATGTAATAATAATTTTCAAATTTATTAAAGTATGCAGCATAAAAACAAAACAGTAGAAGAAAATATAAGGGACTATTGTTATAATACTGGAGAGAGGTGAGAACTTTCCTAAGCAAGACATCTAACCCAGATTTATAGTGAAAATGATTTAACCAGTGAAAATGAAACACTCATGCATAAATATTATACCATAAGAAAGTTAGAGGACAAGTAACAGACCCAAATACATATAAAGCAACAAATAAATAATACCTAGATTACAAACAGAATGTTTGTAAATGTCAGTTCAACAAAAAATGCA